TGACAGAGAGTATGTTTCACATTCAAGTGCCCAATGTATTTTACTAATTTATTATTCAAATGTTGGAATCAAATCTAGAAATGATAAAAATAAATGTTATATCTTGTTGGAAATACTCGCACTTCGTCTTCGATGTGACGAAACTTTCACACCTGCACAGTGTCGAATGATTTTGATTGACAGGACAAGCACGTGGACTTCGTGTGAACTTGAAGCAGGAAAATAAAAACGAGTATGACTGTCAAACAAATGGATATGATTTGCTGATAAAAAAAAAAAGTTACTTTCACTGTCTGATATATTTAGAAAAAAAATTCAAAGTTTTTGTTTGATATAGGTACAAACATTTGGTGAAGCCTGAAAGGAGGGGGGGGGGAGGGCTAAAACTGAATAGTACTCTCTCTCTCTCTCTCTTTCTCTCTCTCTCTCTCTCATTTGTCTGTTTAATAAAAACTATAACACCATATTACTTAAATATCATGTTCTGAAAATTGAATTTATAACAAATAATATGAATATGTATCTTTGTATCATCTTGTCCGAGTACATGTATAATCACGGCCATCTAGAGATACATGTAGACGTCTGCTCAATAAATCATAATGAAAAATAGAAATGACACATAATATGTTATTGTATTAAAAATTTAAAATACGAGCGTATAAGTGTAATTAATTTTTTTTTTTCATTACTTTACACGAAATCGCCTTGACACGGAGATATATATATGAATATAAGTTACAACCGCTTTAATTCATTCTATAAATCATAAATTTTCTCTGATTTGTTATCAAATAAGAATAAACATTTTTATTTTCCAACTAAAACAATATCTTTTATACTTCAGCGTTCGGCAACAATTGCAATGTTTTAATGCGATAAAAATCGTGTGATTAAAAACTTAATGTGCATGCATCGTCTTTCTTAGGACAATTTTGGAGAATTTATTTTATTGACTTATTTATTTATTCATTCATTAATTTGTTTACTTATTTATTATTATTATTTTTTTTGGCACCTGACATTATAACACAATAAAATAGTTTCAATGCAAGGAAAAGATCAGAGGCATTCCGAATATATCGTTCATCTTGCGTTCACCGTTCACTTTGCGTTCGCGTTTGCGCTCCGTTCGCGTTCTGCGTTCGCTCACCGTTCAGCGTTCACACATCGTTCACCAAGTTGCGTTCAGCATTCGCACATCGTTCACTCACCGTTCGTTCAGCATTCGCTCACCGTTCAAGTGGGAAAGTAGAACGTTTCAGGGACTGTAACAGGATAAGAAATGTGATCTATATACTTCGAACCCTAACGGTATAAAGTTGACATCCGTGATATGGAAAAAGATTTAATGCATATATATTTTATTTATTTCATTTCACATCATTATTATTTCATCAGTGGTATTTTCATTTCATTTTCGAATCAAAATTTAAAAAGATTTGTATATTTAAGCAAACGCACTGATGTTACACATGCATGAACATTATGGGCTGATTCAATAATCGTCCATGTTGTAGATTGGATTGTTTCCTGTTGAATGCATTTTTACCACAATTCTTTAATTAAATTGAACATTCAATGTGTTTTTTTTTTGTTTGTCCCCCGCTGAAAGTTGGGGATATTAATTTCAGTCTGTCTGTCCGTCCATCTGTCTGTTCGTCTGTAGTTCTGTCTGTGCGTAACGCTTTTGTTTCCACGCGATATCTTGAGAAACCTTTGAGCTTTTGCAATGAAAATTTACATAATAACTCTCCATGGCCTAAGAAAGATCCCTATTGATTTTGAGGTCAAAAGGTCAAAGGTCAAGGGTCATAAATTTAAAAATTATGTCCGTGTTGACACTTTCTTTTCTACGCAATATCTCGAGAAGCCTTCAAGTTTTTGCAATGAAATTTTATACCACGACTCCCAATGGCCTAAAGAAGACCCCTATTCTTTTTCAAATCAAAAGGTCAAAGGTCAAGGTCATAAAATCATCATTAACTGTTTCTGCATTATTTGTCACTTTCGTCTGCTTTATTTAAACTTTTGTTTCTGTGTGATATCTCGAGAATCTGCAGAAGCCTTTGAAATTGTGATGCACTATTACCCTTCCTCTCCCCTTTCACAGTACTCTTTTCTTTGGTTTTATTTACCCCCCCCCCCTTTCCGAATTAATGCTTTGCCTTAACCTGGTGTCAAAACTAAAATATCAATAAGATAGAATTGTGTAATAGCTAATGCTTTCAACCCCTTAATCTGAGCATCCTCCCCTTTTTTCCTTCAGCTGGGGACACAAATTCTCAGAATTAGCTTTGTAATTTTGTCACATTTTTTTTTAAATGTTAGAGTTATGTAAGGTTTCAACATAAAAAACGCTTTTACATTCATACAGAATCATGTAGATTTATCAATAATATTACCCAAGCTGGAAATTTTAACAAATAATGTCTCAGAGACATTGAGGAGGCTTGGGATTTCTCTACAAACACAGTTCTATAGATTCTGAAGCAGTGTGTAGTCCAAACATGGGTGTGAATGGTATGAATTTCTCACGATGTCGAGATGCACAGAGTCCTCCATGCGTGACGACCGACTGGCTGACAAACAATTAGGTTCAGTAGAGCAGAAAATTGGCCTGATGTCGACATATACCAGGTAAATTTTGCTCTTGGGACTGTGAATATACGTCAAGATAGGCCGGGTAGTCAACATTACTGAAGTCAACATTTCAGAGTTTTTGCCGGGGATGGATATTGACATATCCCAGGTTGTAGACATATCCGATGTTGAGATACCAAAGTTTGCCTGCATTAGATATTTTTATATGCTTCTATATTCAATTTTTTCTTGTTTTCACGTATGGTAAATGAGCCATATAAAGATACAAAATGATATAAAACCAAAAAAGTTTTGATTATTTACTAAGAGAGGAAAAGCACTTTTTATAGATTTTTGGCTCAAAACTGTACTTATATTGAAAGTTTTTTTTTATAATTTTAAAGCAAAAAAATCATATTATTTATTTAAACAAACTTAAGTCTACACTACCAGAGGATGCTTCCATTTAACTATGACCTATCATGGTTTTGCTGTTCTTGAGAAGATGATATTTCCTATGTATTCCTATGTTAAGCATTGATATCCCATTGTAGCCCCACCCTACCCTCTGGAGTCATGATTTGAACAAAGTAAAATCTACACTACCAGAGGATGCTTCCATATAACAAGATGACCAATCATGGCTTTGCAGTTCTAGAGAAGATTTTTAAAGATTTTTCCTATGCATTCCTTTGTTAAAATCTGATACCCCATTGTGGCCCCACCCTACCCTCTGGAGTCATGATTTGAACAAACTTGAATCTTCACTACGGTACCAGAGGATGCTTCCACATGAGTTTCATCTTTCCTGGCCCAGTGGTTAATGAGAAGAAGATTTTTCAAAGATTTTTCCTATGTATTCCTATGTTAAAATTTGATCCCCCATTGTGGCCTCCCCCCTACCCCTGGGGGGTCATGATTTGTACAAAATTGAATCTACACTACCTGAGGATGCTTCCACATTAGTTTCATCTTTCCTGGCCCAGTGGTTCTTCATCAGAAGATATTTAAAAGATGGCATAATTTTTCACTAATTCATAATTATCTACCCTTGGAAGAGAAGGTGGCCCTTCATTTGAATAAACTTGAATCCCCTTCACCTAAGGATGCTTTGAGGCAAGTTTGGTTGAAATTGGCCCTGTGGTTCTTGAGAAGAAGATTAAAATTAATGTGAGAAGTTTACGACGACAACAACAACGACGACAGCCTTCGACTCAGGTGAGCTAAAAAGTGAAGGGCCGGGGCCTCAGGCCCCACCGAGTACTACTGGCCTGTGGAAAATTTAACAATTATGAAATCACATACTAATTATTAAAATATGGAGGAGAAATTTTAGATAGATTTATATAATTTCAATCAATCAATTCTGACTGAGTTATAGATTTACTGGCATTCAAGCTGATACATGTATTTATAATATTACACTTAATTGGACATACATTATTACATTGATATCAATCTGAAAATTTACACAGTCCATGTAGAAATACACATATATATATATATAAAACACTTGCATTAGCACACACATTCGTGATAAAGGTTTGCAAAAGCTTAATTAGCTTAACTCTATTTCTTGTAAACCATATTACAGGCAAGAAATCTAGTATTTTTATAAATTTCTGAAATATTTCCATTTGAATAGTTTCTGATTGGGATCAGATTTATTTAGATCAGGAAATGTACATAGTACCATCTTCTTCTTAAATCTAGCAATTCTTTTTCAATTTCTTTTAAGAATGGGATCATACATTATACTTCTAATAGATGCAAAATGTTTCCTGCAGATTTAATCTAGGATTAAAGAAATTAACAAGTCACAACTTTCATACTCATCAATAGTTTTTTAGATAAGCAAAATCTCTTCTTTTCTTTTTCTCATTTACAACAAAAACATTTTTCTATATTTATCTGTTCATATTTTATCAATCAAAAAAGATCCTTTCAAGCAAAATTCGTCTGAGAAACGTATGATAGATTGTACATTAATAAAAAAAAAATAAGTACGTTCAACAAGAGGCCCATGGGTCACATCGCTCACCTGAGCACATTGGCTAGGAATACAGTAAAAATCAGATCAGTATTGAAGAGTTTACATGGAGGAGGGGTAGGGGGGGGGGGGGAGGGTTGAAATTTAAATTACCTGATGATGCTTCCATATCAATATAACAAATGGCTTCGCTGTTCTCGAGCAAAAGATTTTTTCCTATTACCTGGGTATTCATTTGCAAAAATTTGACCCCCCATTGTGGCCCAGCACTACCTATGGGGCCTCATTTGAACTCATTTGATTTTCAATTACACTACCTGAGGATGCCTCCATATCAATATGACTAATCATGGCTTTATGTTCTTGAGAAAAAGATTTTTATGCGCCAGGATCGATAGATCGGGGGAACATATTGTTTTTGTCCTGTCTGTCTGTCTATCTGTCTGTTTGTCTGTCAACTTTAATCTTCGCCATAACTTTTGAACCATGAGAGATAGAGACTTCATATTTAGTATGCATACTCCACTAATTAAACTCTTTCAAATGACACCAAGGTCAATGACCTTGTGACCTTGACTGCGACCTATATGCTAAAAATAGCCTTTTTGAACATTTGCCATAACTTTAAGTTTTGAACCATAAGAGAAAGAGACTTCATATTTAGTATGCATACTCCACTTGTTAAGTTCTTTCAAATGACACCAGGGTCGATGACCTTGTGACCTTGACTGTGACCTATATGCTAAAAATAGCTTTTCCGAACTTTGTTGCTGCCGGGCGTATAGTGTTTCACAAACACATCTTGTTTCCTATATATTCCTATACAGTGTAAAACTTTGATCCACCATTTTGGTCCACCCTACACCCCAGGGGTCATGAATTTAATGAACTTGAATCTACACTACCTGCTTTCATTAACATTTGACCAATCATAGCTTTGCTGTTCTTAGAAAGAAGACTTTTAAAGAATTTTCCTATGTATTCCTATGTTAAACTATGATCACCCATTGTGGTCAGACCCTACCCCAGGGGTCATAATTTGAACAAATTTGAATCTACACAAACTGGCTTCCATATATATATGAGCAATCATGGCTTTGTTGTTCTTGAGAAGAAGATTTTTAACAATGTTTTCCTATATACAGCTGACTCTCGATGGCTCAAACTCCGATCTCTCGAAGTTCTCGATCTCTTGAAGTGAACCTCCGGTCCCGTTTTTTTCCTCTATATAACTAAGCAAATTTACTCTTGATCTCTCGAACTCCCGATCTCTCGCAGTTCTTTATCTCTCGAACCAAGACCCGGGTCCTGTTACACATATTTCATTGTTTAAGTTTTGATTGCGCATGCATACACGTCAATCAAGCGTAAATTAATTCAGCTTGGACTTTTCTGGATAACAGTGAACGCCTGGGGCTGGGATGGACGTGTTAATTGGGTGTTTACATAGATGATACTACACCTGTGAGTCGTTCGAGTGTTGATATAATAAAAAGGTTAATTGGTAAATTATAAACAAATCGCTTCACAATTTATTTTGACTGGTCGAGTTGATAATTTTGAGAAAATAATGTAGGGACGTGTCAGTAATTTGCCATAGATTATGAACTTTAATATCATTAGAGTCTACACAATCCCAGTTTGGCAAACATATTGCACAAGAAATCCTATCTCAAGAATTGTATACCGATTACGAGCAATCTTGTGAAGGACCGATCAAGCCCGCGCCCGGGGGTTAGCAATATCGACAATTGCTATTCAGGTTTCATGTAATCATGAAATGAGAAGAAACAAATATTGAAACTTAAATTAATCATTTTATTTATTCAAAACACGATCATTGTTGTTGAAATAAAGTGAATTACCTGTAAAATACGAATGAAAATGTGTAATGACATTATCTCAACATATACTTTCGGTATGTATAATGATCGGAACTGAAAATTCCAGATTTTATTCACTTTCTATCTCTCGAACCCCCCGATCTCTCGAACTTTTCTTACGGTCCCTTGAACTTCGAGAGATCGAGAGTCACCTGTATTCCTTTGTAAAACCTTTAAAAACCTGTAAAACTTTGATTGTCCATTGTGGCCCCACCCTACACCCGGGGATCATGATTTCAACAAACTTGAACCTATACTACCTGAGGATGCTTCCGTATAAATTTGACCAATCATGGCTTTGTTGTTCTTGAAAAGAAGAGTTTTAAAGAATTTCCCTGATGTATTCCTATGTAAAACTTTAAACATCCACTGTGGCCCCACCCTACCCCGTGGGTCATGATTTGAACAAACTTGAATCTACACCACCTGAGGACTATTCCACATGAGTTTCATCTTTCCTGGCCAAGTGGTTCTTGAGAAGAAGATTTTTACTATATATTCCTATGTAAAACTTTAAACATCCACTGTGGCCCCACCCTACCCCGTGGGTCATGATTTGAACAAACTTGAATCTACACCACCTGAGGACTATTCCACATGAGTTTCATCTTTCCTGGCCAAGTGGTTCTTGAGAAGAAGATTTTTACTATATATTCCTATGTAAAACTTTGATCATCCATTGTGGCCCCATCCTACCCCCGGGGGTCATGATTTGAACAAACTTGAATCTACACCACCTGAGGACTATTCCACATGAGTTTCATCTTTCCTGGCCAAGTGGTTCTTGAGAAGAAGATTTTTACTATATATTCCTATGTAAAACTTTGATCATCCATTGTGGCCCCGTCCTACCCCCGGGGGTCATGATTTGAACAAACTTAAATCTACACTACCTGAGGATGCTTCCATATAAGTTTCATCTTTCCTGGCCCAGTGGTTCTTGAGAAGAAGATTTTTAAAAGATGCCATTATTTTTTCACTAATTCCTAATTATCTTCCTTTGAAAGAGGGTGTGGCCCTTCATTTGAACAAACTTGAATCTCCTTCACCCAAGGATACTTTGTGGCAAGTTTTGGTTGAAATCGGCTCAGGTGAGCTTAAAATGATAGACCCTCTGCACATCTTACGCTCTGACAATGACTCCTTTGAAATAGGAATGAACAGACTTATAAACAGAATATTTAAATTATTCCTGGAACAATTTATAAGTTCACGTTTTTCTGTTCTATTAATGATATATTTCATTAAAGGAGAAATTAAGGTATTAGGTGCATTAACTTAGTTGATGGCATAGTTACCGAATATTTCTAATTGTCTGCAATATACTAGTAAATGTACGAGGATGTTTGAGAATATTATTAAAACATTATCCATTTCAACACAAACAAGAGATGTTTGTAAAACACTTAACCCCCTTCCCCAAATAATTGGAATTTTTCTAAGTCAAAGGGGCATAACTCTGTCCAAAATGGATCTATCATACCCAAAACAAAACTTGACCTAGAAATTCTTATGATAAATCTGTATACCAAATTTCATTTCAATATGTGCAACCTCTGCAAAGAAAATGAACGGAAACTGCAAATAAATGGAATTTTTCTAAGTCCAAGGTGCATAACTCTGTCAAAAATGGCCAGATCGTACCCAAAACAGAACTTGACCTAGATATTCTAATGATAAATCTGTATACCAAATTTCATTTCAATATGTGCAACCTCTGCGAAGAAAATGAATGGAAACTGAAGGTGGACCGACAGACAGACCGCCCGACAGACAGCTGCATACAGGCCCGTAAGAAGCAATTTCAGTTTGGGGGGGCACAGCCATACATTTTCAGCTGAGGGGGCACTACCAAAATTTCCCGACAAGCAAAAAAAAAAGTCATCAACTACCAAAAATTCCTTGACAAGCAAAAAAAAAGGTCATCAGACGTTTTTATTGAGGGGGCACAAGCCTATAGTATCTGAATTTACTATAGTAATCTATATATCGGTGAAATTATTGGGGGGCACGGCCCCCCCGTGCCCCCCGGTTCCTAGGGCCATGGCACAGCAGCTTCTTCGAAGGGGGGCATAAAAATAAATTATCAGAAACCTATAGCATCGTTTTAAAGAAAGTAAATGGGGAAGAGTAAATGGAGGGGGGGGGGGGGGGGGGTAATTGAGTAACCAAAATATTCAGAAAAATTGGACAGTACAAGAAGAGAAATACTGAAAGTGCAGGTCAGCCTAAATTTAACAGCTTAATGCTTCACAGAAAACACTATTATGCCATCTTCTTCAGTTTTCCTCCATATGTTTCATTTTCTCCATCCATGAGTCTACCTCTGACACTATTAGTGTGAAAAGGCGGGACAGTTACAACCCCCCTCCCCCATACTAGCATGCCTGCTTTTTTTTAAAACTATGGCACAAGAAATTTTTTAAATTCTAACCCACTTTCATCATACAAAACTCTTAGATGCAAATTTCTAGTTAATTTCAACTCTTACGGGAAAAGTCTACATCCTTGCTGGATTTTACTACCTCATAATACACCGTGATTGTAAATATTTTTATGATTTTTTGCATATGTATCATATAATTTTGTATATGGATAGGTATTATATTGTATAAAATAATTCTTCTTTTAAATTTAACTCTTTATGATCAAAACACTTGCAACTTTTTCGAAGTTGTGTACAGACTAAGAACTAATACACCTACTCATGAAAATTTCTTCAAGTATTTGATCAAGTTGATTGTGTAAAAATTATATAAATTAAATTCATTGTTCTATGGTAATTTTGGGAAGCAGAAAAGATTTGAAATATGCCTCTATTCCTCCAAAAATAAAAATACCATTTCTATTTTAACTTGTATAAAAGTTATGGCCAAAGTTAAAGTTTTTAAAAAGTAGGTCAAACTCCAAGGTCAAGGTCAAAGGGTCAAAGTTCTTGATATCCACTGAAAGGTCATGGGACGTTTCGCCCCTATTGACGTTTCGCGTCGAGACCATTCGCCCCAAAAGACCTTTCGCACCGAGACGTTTCGCGCCGAATTTAATCTACATTGTCTATAACGATATATTGCGATGTTTTACGATGTTTTAAGATAAATATTTATATATAAAGTTAATATTGACTTTATTAAAAAAACGTTCTAAAGTTAATAAAAAAAACTTTCATGTTTAAATTGTTGAAAATAGGCTTATACCATAATTAAATATATAATTATCCATGTGCAGATATAATTATGTTTATTCAATCATAATTGCCTGATTCAGTTTTGTAATTAAGGTGTTATAACTATAATTTGGAGACAAATGTCAAGAGGAGAATTAAATTATGAGACGGGTATCAATTATCAATATATTTTTTAAGTAACAGGAATTCATTAAAAAAAATCAGGTCTGACAATTTTTTTTTAAGTTTTAGTATGGTTGTGGGCCTGGGGGGGAGGGGGGGGGGTATAAAGCCTGATATAGAGATAAATTCTCCGTTTTTATATAGCGTGATATAGAGATAAATTCTCCGTTTTTATATAGCGTGATATAGAGATAAATTCTCCATTTTTATTCTCTACAAGGGTCTCAATCAGGTCTTCAGTGTTTCAGGTCTTTAGTATATCCCATATAAATTGGTTTTATTGATTGAACCAATGGATTGGATTAATACATCACAGTTCAAAAGTTATTAAGAAGTTAATAATTGCTGTTAACAAGTGATAATTACCACATAATTAATTAATTGATCTTCGGCGCGAACCGTCTAGGGGTGAAACGTCTCAGCGCGAATGGTCTTTGGGGGCGAACCGTCCCGCAAAATTGTCACAAGGATTAAATATGTGAAGTATGAAAGCCCTAGCCCTAACCCTTCAAAAGTTATTGTCAAGGTTTGTTTTTTAAAAAGTAGTTCAAACTCCAAGGTCAAGGTCAAAGGGTCAAAGTTCTTGGTATCCAATGAAAGGTCTTCTCACAAGGAAATACAGTACCCACATCGTTGTTCTTTACAATTCTATCGTGTCCTATCGTGCTTGTATCCTATTGTATCATGTATCCTGTAAAGAATAACGATGTGGGTACTGTAAATGTACTCACCGAACAGATTCAAAATCATGATACTTTTAAGTAGAAAACATAGAGTGCAGGTTGTTCAACAAAGATATTTCCACACAACCTTTATAAATATAATATACACATTATATTTCAATCTCGACTTTGAACACACATGCGCTCGATGTTTACGAAAGCTATGATAATGAAGTGTGCACCTGTCACAAATTTCTTTTGATATTCATGAAAATCAAAGGACCCCACCTTCGAAACATAGCTTCGCATGTTGTGTATTGCAATTATTTGATATTTTTAATTGTTATACCTTTAAAAATTTGTTCTTATACAAATCTATACAAAAAAGTCTGTCATTTCTAATGTTATGCTGAGCGGGCATAAAAAAATCGATGTTTGACCGCTGAGTGAGATGTTGGACCGGTCGATGAGATGTTGGACCGCTTACGTCACAGAATGGGCGGAGCTTAATCTCATTTTCATTCGTTGGTGTTCAACAGTGACGGACCTGAGGTTACATCATGGAAGACAATACAAAATACATATATGTCAAAAAAAATTTAATGAAAGGTATAACAAAACATTTATTGACTACCGGTATGTTCTCGGGCAAAATGTGTTTTGTCGACCCTTGAACCAAACTGTCTGCCTGAGGCCGTTAGGCCTCAGGCAGACAGTTTGGTTTCTTGGGTCAGACAAACTGCATGTTGCCCTCGAACTCAGTCAATAAATGTATAGATCTAATGTTGGCGCAAATTCTACAGACATAAGAGAATACTACAATTAAGTTTTTAAGTTTTTTATCGAGGGTTAAAAAATTGACGAGTAACCGGGGACCACAGATTATGCCTTTTTGAGACTTGTAAATGTTCTTTACTATTATTTTTCAAATGAATAGATATGAATGTGACTTAACATACCTTTTCCAATTGCCTCCAAACGATTTCACCTGCTCCTCCATATCATTTTCTTTGTCGTCAAAGGCCTCTGTTGCTCTTTCGATCTGATCTCTAGCTTCCCACTTCTCTTCCCCTGTTTCCTTGTAAAAATCGTACGAAAAATTCCACAACTCCTTTGTGTACTGCATAATGGTGTGACTGATTCTTGGCATTTCCAATAGGCCCCCGCGTGCAACAGATTTGAGCGTTTTCAGATCGGACATGAATTTTCCAAGATCCGTGGCCTTTTCATCATAGAAAACGGACAGTTCCAAGAGATGTTCTAATCTCCAATGGGAAGCTCTGCCCGGGAATTTTTTGCCATATTTGCTCCATTGAAATGATGATGAAGAACCTGTATCAGTACCATGCGATGACAAACTGTCTTCTTCACTACTCGCCATCTTCCTTTATCGCACTTACGCATGCGGTGTTTTTGCCAATAGCGAGCGCAGCGAGCGGCGCAAGCGCCGCTCGTCACTGCGAGCTCAAACGACAACGCCTGGGCGAAGAGAAAATTCGGACTACTGCACATTCATCCAATCGAATTTTTTTTCCGCAGTAATTCCGAACCCACGATGCATCGCTTGTTGTTCTCGCTGCTAACTTCGTTCGCGCGGTAACAACAACTAAAAATTCACAAAAGATAAACTCACCTTAATTTAATGGATATTGCATACAGATAGTAGATTAAACGTTCTTTGTTAACATTTTTGCAATTTTCAAACTTCGTTTATGGAAATGCGGCTAACAGCATGGCCGTAGGAACCGGGGGGGGGGGGGCACGAAAATGTTTTTTTTTTTTACTTTATCGAAAAAGAAAATTGACAGAATTTCAAAAATGTAACTAGTTATAATACTTTAAAAATTACATATTTTTTGTTTTAAAAAATAGTTTAGGGGACAACCATTTGATTCTGAACACAAGGTAGTGGGTGCATCATCATGTTCACTAGCCAGATTATTTATTTTCATACCTACCAGTGCATTCATCATGCAGTTCATGAAGGACTTTTTTATCAATACAGTCATTGACAGTTTATAATTTATTTTCCTCTTTGCTTCCTCACAAAAAAGTTAAGCAAGGAACCACACAAAAAAAATAAGAAAGCCTAAAAGGGTCAAATCAGGAAAAATTTTTAAAAAAATCGTAATAATGTCAGTCTGAGAGATAAAAAGTCACGACTACGAGATACATATGTACGGTAATTACCCCTATACCGACTTAAGAAAGTGCACTCTTGAAATATAAGTTAATTAATATTAGTAATAAACTATTTACAATGGCTGTGATTTTATGTTTTGACTTTGCTCACGGTTTTTGAGCGAAGACGCGAAAAGGGGGGGGGGGGCTTTTTGTAAGTGATACTTACACGCACAGTGTACCAGAAGGTTTTATTTTGCTTTTAAAGGTAGGTAAATCTTATGATACAGTTGCCAAAAAAATTTAGACACCAATTTTAATATACATATCTACATCATATATACATGTAAGTGTGGATGGTACTACCAATGAGATAAACCTAGCTATGCTTTAATTATATCTCGGACGGATAGATGCTTTATCCATTATACAACAATTCCGGTTTTGACACAATATCTCGCATCAAGATTTAAATTTATCGATACTTCTATTTGTGAAAATAAAATTATTGCTTTGAAAAATGTATGATAATGAGCAAAGATTTCGTTTAAAGCAAGAAAATACCTCTGTCAATGAAGTGTCATATTTTATCCATGTATCCGTACTGCATGGTTACTGTGAAATATAATACCACCACAACCCTGTTTTCATGAAAAACGTTCGGCCTTGATGTTAACATTGGTTACGTTGTTGTTGCAAGTTGTTTGGCCCATGCAGAACGGCTATAGCCACATCCAACAATGCTTTCTTATAGTAGCACAATATAGAATATAGATTCACAGGCCACAATTTTCCCCACTGACATTCATTTTTTTTTCAATCTTTGATATTTTGTTCTGGGATAAAAAAATCTCTCTGTATATTAAATATCAAAGAAATTCAACCACACATTTTTTGCCCCTATGATTTGAAATACTGTATAAGCAGACTTTTTAGTGAGGATTTAATTTTGGCATTATTAGCGAGGGTGTTGAGATCGCTAAAATTGAATATCGCTAAAAACTAATTGCGTTTTATGTGTATTACATGTACTTTTAGCTATAGCTTCTTAAGGAAAAATCCACGGGCACTTGTTTCGTATACGGGATACCCCCTACTTATTTTTACCACAAGTTGTGGTTTCTACTATTCATCCTAAGAAACCCAGTCACTTTTCAGATAAACATATAGGCAACTGTAATCAGCTGGCTCCCGTTAAAAATTGAAAATCCTTCATATCAAAAATCGTATATCAGTTAGATATAGGCAAGCATTTAGAAAAAGTGCGGAAATCCAAATGATAAGGATAAATACTGATTGACAGGAAGATGGTCAGATCCAGAGGGGGTCTAGAATTTGCTTCTATTGCTGTTTGTTTGAAGCTACTTCAATTTTTTTTCACTCAAACTAAAGACGCCACCATTTGCCAGTGGAGGACTGCAAAGGAGATGAGTAAACTTAGCGTGCAGAGAACCCATAGTTTCAGATATTTAAAAGAAATATTCAAATTGTGAATTTAGTATTTAGTTTAAAGTTCTAATTATTGGTGTTTATGAAAAAATGATTAACAAAACTTTTCTGAGGAAAAAATTTTCGTTAAAAATTATTCATTTATTAAAAAAAAAAAATGAAATGGTATTCATTGGGTTCGAACCCGAGGAATAAAAATCCTGAGTAGATTTTTCGTTTAATGATTCCATTTTTAATCAAATTCATCAATTTCCTGTGATTTGATTGGACAAGAACAGATTTTTTCACATCGAAAAATCTCATTTACCGGAAATAATTTCTTGATCGACCTTGTTTCTTATGTAAAACTAGAGGTGCTGTGAGCACAAAGTTCAATAAATGATACCCCCGCCTCCCATATGATTATAATGGCAAATTCGATGCATGTTTTACTCTTGGAGACCCTAAATAAGTGTCAGGTCAAAAATCGTCAATCATGGCTTTGTTGTACTTCATCAGAAAATTTTAAAAGATTTTCCCTATATATTACTACGTTAAATTGAATTGTCCATTGTGGCCCCACCCTACCCCCGGGGGTCATGATTTGAAGAAATTTGAATCTACACTACTGAGGTTGATTCCATATAAATATGACCACTCATGGCTTTGTTGTTCTTGAGAAGAAGATTTTTAAAGATTTTTCCTATATATTCCTATGTAAAACTTTGATCGTCCATTGTGGCCCCATCCTACCAAAAGGGGTCAGGATTTGAAGAAGTTTGAATCTACACTACTTGAGGATGCTTTCATATAAATATGACCAATCATAGCTTTGTTGTCCTTGAGAAGATTTCTAAAAATTTTCCCTATAATTCCTATGTAAAACTTTTCGTCCATTGTGGCCCCACCTAACCCCCTGGGGTCATGATTTGAACAAATTTGAATTTACACTACTGAGGTTGATTCCATATAAATATGACCACTCATGGCTTTGTTGTTCTTGAGAAGAAGATTTTTAAAGATTTTTCCTATATATTCCTATGTAAAACTTTGATCGTCCATTGTGGCCCCATCCTACCAAAAGGGGTCAGGATTTGAAGAAGTTTGAATCTACACTACTTGAGGATGCTTTCATATAAATATGACCAATCATAGCTTTGTTGTCCTTGAGAAGAAGATTTCTAAAAATTTTCCCTATAATTCCTATGTAAAACTTTTCGTCCATTGTGGCCCCACCTAACCCCCTGGGGTCATGATTTGAACAAATTTGAATTTACACTACCTGAGGATGCTTCCACATTAGTTTCATATTTCCCGACCAAGTGGTTCTTGAGAAAAAGATCTTTAAAACATGCCACCAAATTTTCATTTTTTCATAATTATCTCCCCAGAGGTCATGATTTGAACAAACTTGAATTTACACTACCTGAGGATGCTTCCACATTAGTTTCATCTTTCCCGACCCAGTGGTTCTTTATTTCATAATTATCTCCCCTTGAATGAGGGCGTGGCCCTTCATTTGAAGAAACTTGAATCCCCTTCACCCAATGATGCTTTGTGGCAAGTTTGGTTGAAATTGGCCCAGTGGTTCTGGAGAAGAAGTCGAAAATGTGAAAAGTTTACAGACGGGCGGACAGACAGACAGACGGACTACAGACAAATTGTGATCAGAATAGCTCACTTGAGCTTTCAGCTCAGGTGAGCTAAAAATATCGAGGCGCAATGCTCACAGTACCTCTAGTTTTTATACTCCCCGCTTGAAAAGCGGAAGGGTATATAGTAATCGGGATGTCCGTCCGCCCGTCCGTCCGTCTGTTACGCTTTGGGGTACCTATGTCTTATCCGCAACTCCTCTTTTACCACTGAATAAAATTTAATGATACTTTCACAGATTCTTTATTACATAATGCCATTGTGCACCTCCTATTTTACTTTTTGATCTGACACTTATTTCCGGTCTCCAATAGCAAAACAGGGACTTTGTCATTATAATCATATGGTAGGCGGGGGGTATAATTTAGTGAGCTCGTTGCTCACAGTACCTCTAGTTTATTTGATCTTGGCCCTAAAAAACATTCAAAACTGTGAAGAAGCTAACAAACCCTCTTTGTTCGAGTAACATTCCAAAAACAAACTAGAGGTACTGTGAGCAATGAGCTCACTAAATGATACCGCCCGCCTCCCATACGAATATAATGGCAGTGCATGTCCATTTTTTTGCTATGGGAAACCCAAAATATGTGTCGGAGCAAAAAGTAAAATAGGATGTGCACAATGGCAATATGAAATAAAGATTCTGTGAAAGTCTCATCAAATTTCATTCAGTGGTATGAGAGGACGGACGGGCAAACGGACGGAGGTACAGACGGACGAAAGGACAGACGGACGGACATCCCGATCACTATATACCCTCCCGCTTTTCAAGCGGGGAGTATAACAAGTTTTTAAAATTGTCTTACTGGCGCAAGATCCTTTTATTAGTTTAAACTAAATTTTCTTGATCCTACTTGATGGCTTTGCATAAAATTAAATCATATAGAAAATGAAGCAATTTCATTGAAAACAATTTGAAACATCGTAACCCAGACTTGAACAATAAAGAGTCATATAGTATTACTCTAACAGAGTTAATTAATAATAAAAATATTAAAATAATAATAATTAAGAAGATATACACCATTGCTTAACTGTTCTTGAGATTATTTATCCCTATATAATATCCATTGTGGCCCAAACTTACCCAGATACTATAATATGAACACTTTCCATTTTAGATTATGTCAGTTAGCTGTCAAATAATGTTGAGCTTTTCTGGCAAATGATTCTTGAGAATT